GGAAGGCTGGCCAAGAAACGATCGATAAGGGCAGCCTCGGGGAGGAACGCCACGTCGCAAACGAGGCGGGCGTCCTGAAAAACCTGGATGTGGCGATCCAGGTCGGCTGCGCCATCAGAGCCGGACCAGCGTGTAGTGACGACAGGCTCGAAGGCGTTAGTCGCGTCGTATCGGGCTCCGAAGCGATCCTCGAGGAACGTCTAGAAATCCACGAAGGTCGGAGTCCGACCCTCACGAAGGGAGTAGGCATAGAAATCCTCCCAGGCCTCGAAAGGACCGCCACGCAGGCGCATGGAGAGGTGACCCACCCACGTCTCGGGTGTGGAACCCATGAGCTGAAGTGTGCGGGTGGCAGACTACAACCACCGAGACACGCGTATGCATGTACCATCATACAAAGCAATGTCCGACAAGCGGATGAGTGGTGCACCACCGTTTTGGCGGCGAGGGGATCGAGGAGCGGAGGCCTGTGCCACGGCTGAGTAAGTCGGCGCAGGTCCTGGAGAAAGGGGCGCAGCCGACTGTGCGCCCGGGCCGCATGGGGGAGCGGCGGTGGCAACAGCGGCAGGTTGCGAGGGTGCTACGGTAGAAGAGGTCGCAGCAACCGCAGGAGTAGGAAGTAGGTAGGAAGGAGTTGTATAGGGTGCAGGGCGCGGAAAGCGAGCCTACATGGGAGGAAGGGTAGAGGAGGTAGGGGGTGCGCCCGAAGGCGCGGCCACCTGTGAGGGTGGGGGTGGCTGAAGTCGTAAGAGGGCGAGGTCGGCCCGGAGCTGGGCAATCTCGTCCGCAAGACCTCGAACGCAGGTCGATCGAGGGGTGGCGGGAGGAAGAGTGGAGGGGGTGGACGCACAAGCGGCGCGGGGCATCCCAGAGGGGGGAGAGCCAGGTGGCGTTGTGGTCGTGCGAAGGGGAGGGAGAAGCGGGGCATCCGGAAAAGCTGAGACCATGGTAGCGGGTTGTTGTACCGTGGCCGTAGTGACCGGGATCTGGGCGGGTGCGCCCGTAGACTGAGGGGGGGCCTGGCTCGTGGCGGTCGTCGTGCTAGGGGCGTGGACAGTCACCAAGATGGCCGGGTCAGGGGCAACGGAGGAGGAAGCTCCGCCGTGGCCACCCTTTCAGAGGACGGGGGACCCGGACTGGGCGCCAGGAGATGACGGACACGCAGCGTCCTAGAGTTGCTGCATGCCGGCGGCAAGGGTCGCCACCTGCGCCTGTAAGGGCGCGAGGGCCGCGAGTTGCGCCTGGATGGGCGCAAGGGTCGCGAGTTGCGCCTGGATGGGCGCAAGGGTCGCGAGTTGCGCCTGGATGGGCGCAAGGAGGGAGGTGAGGAGGGTGTGTAGATCCCCCTGGGGCTGATGGCCCTGGTCCGCCGGCACGGGTGTGGAGCCCGATGCCGTGGTCATCGCCGTGTCGGCGGCGTGTGACGCACCGTCGGCCATAGGGAGATGACGGACCGGACTGAAGGGGGCCAGAAGAGGTCCGCGTGAGCGGAGGACGTAGGGGGAAGTCCGCGGTAGAAAGCGGCGAATGGCGCTAGCAAGGCTAACACGGGCGCCGTCAAAGGGGGAGGGGTGGTTCGGGTCCAGGGTGCCCGAAGAGGACGGGGAAGTAGGGGGGGTTTTGAGGAACCCTAAACCCTACAAAAACCCTAAAGAAAACCCTAACCGAGGTTTAAGTGGTTAGGGTAGGGTACCGGTGACCTAATCAAGAAAGTAAAAGAGCAAGCATAGGGGAAGGGAAGGCGGGAGAAAAATAAAGAAGCAGCGAGATTTCGAGAGAAAATAAAAATAAATAAGGAAATAAATAAATAATAAAATTAATTAAAGAAATAAGTAAAAGGATGGAAAGGGAAAACAATATTTATTTATTTATTTATTTATTTATTTATTTATTTATTTATTTATTTATTTATTTTTTATTTATTTTTTTATTTTTAATTTTCGGAAGCATTTCCCTACCCCCCACGGGGTCAAGAATGTGCCAAGGGAAAAGGAGAGACCAAGGTGAGCACACTAGAGATGCCGCAAATAATAAAAAGAAATTTCAGGAAATAAATAAAGAAATAATAAATAAATAAATAAATAAATGTGTGAGGAGGTGGGGAGAAATGGGTTATCTGACTTTTCAAAAATTTTGGCAGCATTTCGTTACCCCCATGGGGTCGAAGTGTGCCGAAAAGACTAAGTAAGAGAAAATCAAAAAATTTCGGCAGC